AGAACACATAAGAGAAAAGAAAAAGAAAAAAAATGAATAAAAAATAAAAATAATACAGAGGAGAAAATGTTTATGACAGATAGACAATTTGCTTATACATCACACCAAAAGCACAATCCACAAAAGAAAATAGTAAATTGGACTTAGAACTTCTCTTCTTTGAAAGACGTTATTAGTAGAAGAAAAATACAAGTTATAGAATGGAAGAATATTCTTGCAAATCACTTATTTCATAAAGTTGTATTCAGCATATAGAAGAATACTCACAACTGAATAATGAGAAAATTAACACTCAATTTAAAACATATAGGCAGGCCAGGAGCAGTGGCTAATGCCTATAATCCTAACACTTTGGGAGGCTGAGGCGGATGGATCACATGAGGTCAGGAGTTCAAGACCAGCCTGGCCAATATGATGAAACCCCATCTCTACTAAAAATACAAAATTAGCCTGGCGTGGTGGCACGTGCCTGTAATTCCAGCTACTAGGAGGCTGAGGCGGGAGAATCGCTTGAACCCAGGAGGTGGAGGTTGCAGTGAGACAAGATCTCACCACCGCACTCCAGCCTGAGCAACATAGCAAGACTCTGTCTCAAAAAAAAATAAGTAAAAATAAAAATCAATGAATATCTACTCCAATAGTGCTTCTAGCTATACAGAAATAAATAAATAAAATAGAACATATGGGCAAATTATCTGAACCACAATGTCATATCAATGCAATTATTTTCCTCTTATGCAATCTAGTTGATTTGTTTTTGTTTTTGTTTTTTGAGACGAAGTCTTGCTCTGTCACCTAGGTTGGAGTGCAGTGGTGCGATCTTGGCTCACTGCAACCTCTGCCTTCCAGTTCAAGCAATTCTTCTGCCTCAGCCACCCAAGTAGCTGGGACTACAGGTGCACACCACCATGCCCAGCTAATTTTTGTATTTTGTATTTTTCACCACATTGGCCAGGCTGGTCTTGAACTCCTGACCTTGTGATCCACCCACCTCAGCCTCTCAAAGTGCTGGGATTACAGGCGTGAGCCACGACTCCTGGCCTTAATTGATTTTTTTTTTTTTTTTTTTTTTTTTTGAGACAGAGTCTCACTCTGCTGCCCAGGTTGGAGTGCAGTGGCAGAATCATGGCTCACTACAGCCTCCACCACCAAGGCTCAAACCTCACTTCATCCTCCCACCTCACCCTCCCAAGTAGCTAGGATTACAGGCTCATGCCACCATGCCTAGCTAATTAATTTTTTTTTTTTTTTTTTTTTTGGCAGTGACAGGTTTGGTCATGTTGCCTAGGCTGGTCCTGAACTCCTGGGCTCAAGTGATTTGCCATCCTCAGCCTCCAAAGTGCTGTGATTACAGACGTGAACCACTTTGCCTGGCAGATCAGTGCAAATTAACCCATGAAAAGATGTTCAAAATCATTTGTCATTATGAAAGTGCAAATTAAAACCACAATGAGATTGTTGCATACCTTTTGGAATGGCTAAAATTTAAATGATTGAGTACATCAAATGTTGATAAAGATTCAGGGTAACTGAAAGTCTCATATCCTGCTTGTGGGAATGTAAGATAGTATACCCACTTCCAAAAACAGTTTGGTATTTTATTTTATTTTACTGAGACCAAGTTTCACTGTTGTTGCCCAGGCTAGAGTACAATGCTGCGATCGTGGCTCATAGCAACCTCTCCATCCTGGGTTCAAGCAATTCTCATGCCTCAGCCTCCTGAGTAGCTGGGATTACAGGCATGGGCCACCATGCCCGGCTAATATTGTAGTTTTAGTAGAGACAGGGTTTCTCCATGTTGGTCAGGCTGGTCTTGAACTCCCGACCTCAGGTGATCTGCCACCTTGGCCTCCCAAAGTGCTGGGTTACAGGCGTGAGCCACCGCACCCAGCCTGGTAGTTTATTTTTTAAATTGAACATTGACTACCTTTAGACTTAGCCATTCCAAACTTAGGTATTTATTCCAGAGAAATGAAAGCATATGTCTATATAATAACTTGTGCATGAATGTTTACAGCAGCTTTATTTGTAATAACCCAAAACCAGAAAACAGTCCATGCCATGTCATGGAAAAACACTCAATGATAAAAAAGCATCAACTATTTATATATGCAAAAGTGTAGATAAATCTCAAAACAATCATGCTAAGTGAAAGACGTGAGACAGAAGAAAGTAGATGCTGTTGGCTCCACTTATATAAAATCTAAAATATGCAAACTAATATACAGTGACAGAAGCAGATTGGTGGTTAGTGGGGATTGAGGTGGGGTCACGGAACAGCATGTGGGAGGGATTATAAAGCCACATGAAGAAACTTTTGGAGGGGGGGAAGTGGGTAAATTCATTATGTTGAAGTGGTGAAGGTTTCACAAGTATTTATGTATATGGATACTTATATATTTTTAAAATGTACATTTTAGGCCGAGCACGGTGGCTCACGCCTGTAATCCCAACACTTTGGGAGGCTGATGCAAGGCACATCATGAGGTCAGGAGATTGAGACCATCCTGGCCAACATGGTGAAGCCCCTTCTTTACTAAAAATTTTTTTTAAATTAGCTGGGTGTGGTGGCATGTGCCTGTAGTCCTAGCCACTTGGGAGGCCAAGGCAGGAGAATAGCTTGAACCTAGAAGGCGGAGGTTGCAGTGAGCTGAGATTGTGCCACTGCACCCCAGCCTGGTGACAAAGTGAGACTCGAATTTCAAAAAACAAATAAATAAAATAAAACAAAACAAAACAAATACAATAAAATGTACATTTTAGGACAGGTGTGGTGACTCCAGCCTGTAATCTTAACACTCTGGGAGGCTGAGGAGTCCAAGACCAGCCAAGGTAACATGGTGAAACCTCATCTCTACGAAAATGCAAAAATTAGCCAGCCATGGTGTATATATATGTATATATGTGTATATATATGTATCTACATATGGAGAGAGAGAGAGAGAGAGAGAGAGAGAGAGACTGGGGTCTCAGTATGTTGTCCAGACTGGTCTTGAACTCCTGGGCTGAAGTGATCTTCCTGTGTTGGCCTCCCAAAGCGCTGGGATTACAGAAGTGAGCCACTGTGTGTGGCTAGCATTCTTTCTCCCTCTGTCACCAGGCTGGAATGCAGTGGCACAATCCATAGCTCACTGTAACCTCGAACTCCTAGTCTCAAGGGACCCTCCCAAGTAGCTGGGACTAAAAGCACGCATCACCACTCCCCAGCTATTTTGTAGAGACAGGGTCTTGCTTTGATGCCTGGGCTGGTCTCAAACTCTTGGGCTCAAGTGAGCCTCTCACCTTGGCCTCCCAAATTGCTAGGATTACAGATGTGAGCCATTGTGACCAGTTTAGCTTTCCTTACACATAGGAACGCTCTCCCCCTTAATCAATTTTGTCTAATATGATTGACTTTTTTTTTTTTTTTTAAGACAGGGTCTTGGCCGGGCACGGTGGCTCACGCTGCCAGCACTTTGGGAGGCCGAGGCGGGTGGATCACGAGGTCAAGAGATCGAGACCATCCTGGTCAACATGGTGAAACCCCGTCTCTACTAAAAATACAAAAAATTAGCTGGGCATGGTGGCGCGTGCCTGTAGTCCCGGCTACTCGGGAGGCTGAGGCAGGAGAATTGCCTGAACCCAGGAGGCGGAGGTTGCAGTGAGCCGATATAGCACCATTGCACTCCAGCATGGGCAACAAGAGCGAAACTCCATCTCAAAAAAAAAAAAAAAAAAAAAGACAGGGTCTTGCTCTGTCACCCATGCTGGGTGGAGTGCAGTAGTGCAAGCTCGGTGCTCACTGCAGCCTCCTGGGTTCAAGGGATCCTCTGTAGCTGGGACTACAGGCTTGAGTTCCCATGCCTGGCTAATTTTTTTATTTTTAGTAGACAGGAGGTATCCTTATGTTGGCCAAGCTAGTCTGGAACTCCTGAACTCAAGAGATCCTCCTGCCTTGGCCTCCCAAAGCATTGGGATTACAAGCATGAGTCACTGTGTCTGGCCTGATTTTGTACTTTGAGAGAATAAAATGCAGTATAACCGTAATTGTTTGGGGTATTTTGATTCTTACGTTATTTATTTATTTATTTATTTATTTATTTATTTCATTTTCTGAAAATATAGAGATGGGGTCTCACTATGTTGACCAGGCTGGTCAACTCCTGGCTTCAAGAGATCCTCCCGTCTCAGCCTCCCAAAGTATGAGGATTACAGACATGAGCCACTGCACCGGGCCAATGTTATTTAAACACTCTACTGAATGTCCTTCAATTTCTCTTAGACAATTTCTCCCTTGAAGTGTTTAGGGAAAATGAAAGGAACTAGAATTCAAAGCAATCTAAATTCCATCTGGTTAATAGCTGTTTGATAAAAGCTCCACAGGGAACAAATGAAAACTATTGGCTGAAATTAGATATTGGTAATAGCTATAAATTTAAAACTTTTTTTCTATCCCAGTCATTCGGGTAGCACATGATTTCTCTCTTTCTCTCTCTCTTTCTTTCTTTTTTTTTTCTCCGAGTCTCACTCTTGTTGCCCAGGCTAGAGTACCCTGGCACGATCTCAGCTCACAGCAACCTCTGCCTCTGAAGTTCAAGCGATTCTTCTGCCTCAGTCTCCTGATTAACTGGAATTACAGGTGCCCACCACTGGCTAATTTTTGTATTTTTAGTAGAGACAGGGTTTCACCAGGTTGGCCAGGCTGGTCTCAAACTCCTGGCCTCAGGTGATCCACCCATCTCGGTCTCCCAAAGTGCTGGGATTACAGGTGTGAGCCACCAGGCATGGCCTTGATTTATTTCTTAAAAGGCTTTATTAATCCTGACATAAAGAGATTAATGTCAAATTGGAGCTTGTTATATCCACAGTCAGTGTCAGGTGAAATTGTCATTTGAAGTCAAAGCTACCTTAAATACAGTCAAATATTGTGAAAATGATTTCTAAAACAAACAAAAATGTACTTGGTCACAGAAAGTTTAAAAAGAAAATTGCAGCCTCTAAACTTTGAATTCACTACCTACCTCTCTGGCTCGATGGAGCTGTGCTCGCTCAATCCTGGAGATGATATCCTTTACTGAGAATGGGATCTCAAGTTTAGGGAGCACCGAAGGACCAAGAACATTTTGGGGATCTCTTCTCATGATGGTGGAATCCTTGATGTATTTTTCTGATTCATGGTCATGGTCTATCTCATTTTGCATTTTGATAAACATTTTGAAAATGTGGGTGATTTCCTTTTATTTCTTCTTTTTCATAGAATCTAGGAAAATGGGAATAAAGATATTCAGTAGGAAGCTAAGAGAGGTCTTTTCTGCTCCCAGAAGTTGTGGCATACTCAGCTACTAATTGATGGCTACCACGGTATTCCAGTCCCGTTGATGTCACAATAGATCCATTGTGACATTATCATTGATCAAACATGTAAAGAGTGCTTACTATATGCAGAGAACTGGGCATTCTATATGCTGCCATGGTAGAAGGGTGAAGGGGGGATGGAGGGTAGGAAATAACAAGAACACTTAAATAAATAGAAGATATAGCCCTGCTTAAATTAGCTTAAAATCTTGGTGTGTCAAATGCAATTCCTGGCTCTTCTCTCTTCCTGGGCTTTTGCCTAGGCTTTTTTTTTTTTTTTTTTTTTTTTGAGATGGAGTTTCACTCTTGTCGCCCAGGCTGGAGTGCAATGGCCTGATCTCAGCCCACTGCAACCTCCCACTCTTGGGTTCAAGCAATTCTTCTGCCTCAGCCTCCCGAGTAAGTGGGTTACAGGCGTGTACCACCACGCCCGGCTAATTATTGCATTATTTGTAGAGATGGGGTCTCACCATGTCAGTCAGGCTGGTCTTGAACTCCTGAGCTCAGGTGATCTACCCATCTCAGCCTTCCAAAGTACTGGGATTACAGGCGTGAGCCACCACACCCGGCTACTTAAGTATTTTTAAACCTGTAATGGAATAAGGGTTTACAACTACTTCCTTAGGTGCCCCTTAACTTTTCCTAGACAAATGGTAACATGGATGATATCATTTGGATGTAGATCATATTCTGCACTGCTTACTCTTTTTTCTTTTCTTTTCTTTCTTTTTTTTTTCCAAGACAGATTCTCATTCTGTCACCCAGGCTGGAATGCAGTGGCGCAATCTCAGCTCACTGCAACCTCTGCCTCCTGGGTTCAAGCGATTCTCCTGCCTCAGCCTCCCAAGTACCTGGGAATACAGGCATGCACCACCATGCCCAGCTAATTTTTTGTATCTTTAGTAGAGACAGGGTTTCACTGTGTTAGCCAGGATGGTCTCCATCTCCTGACCTTGTGATCCACCTGTCTCAGCCTCCCAAATAATTTTTTTTTTAGATGGCGTCTTGCTCTGTCATCCAGGCTGGAGTGCAGTGGTACGATCTCAGCTCACTGCAACCTCTGCCTCTTGGGTTCAAGCAATTCTCCTGCCTCAGCCTCCTGAGTTGCTGGGATTACAGGAGCACACCACCACGCCTGGATAATTTTTGCATTTTTAGTAGAGACAGGGTTTCATCATGTTGGTCAGGCTGGTCTCAAACTCCTGATCTTGTGATCCTCCTGCCTTGGCCTCCCAAAGTGCAGGGATTACAGGTGTGAGCCACCTTGCCCAGCCTAATTTTTGTATTTTTAGTAGAGACAGTGTTTTACCATGTTGGCCAGGCTGGTCTTGAACTCCTGACCTCAGGTGATCCACCCATCTCAGTCTCCCAAAGTGCTGGGATTACAGGTGTGAGCCATGTACCCGGCCAGGTGTATGTATTATTAATAATAAGCTATATAGTATGATTTTATAGCTTTTACATTCTATATAAATTATGGATGCAATTTCTTTTTTGTTTATTTATTTATTTATTTATTTTAAAGATGGGGTTTCACCATGATGGCTAGGCTGGTCTTGAACTCCCAACCTCAGGTGATACACCCACCTTGGCCTCCCAAACTGCTAGTATTACAGGTGTGAGCCACCGCGCCCGGCCTGCAATTTCTTTATGTCTCTGCAAGAACTTCCTATGTTGAGTCCTTGTAAACTTATTAGTCCTATGTTAAGTCCTTGTTGTAAATTTGTAAAATTAAACAATTTATGTGTTTCAGTCCTACAGAGAAAGGGAGGCTAGGAATCATTAAGTAACAGTCTTTTTTTTTTTTTTTTCTCCTTTTCCTTTTTTAGATGGTGTATTGCTCTGTTGCCCAGGTTGGAGTGCAGTGGCGGGATCTCAGCTCACTGCAACCTCCGCCTTCCAGGTTCAAGCAGTTCTCCTGTCTCAGCCTCCCAAGTAGCTGGGATTACAGGCATCTGCCACCACACCTGGCTAATTATTTTGTAGTTTTAGTAGAGACAGGGTTTCACTACATTGACCAGGCTGGTCTCAAACTCCTAACCTCAAGTGATCCACCTGCCTCGGCCTCCCAAAGTGCTGGGATTACCAGCGTGAGCCACTGCACCCAGCCAAAGTAGTGTTTTTTTGTTTTGTTTTGTTTTTTGAGATGGACTTTCACTCTTGCTGCCCAGGCTGGAGTGCTGTGGAAGAGTTTCAGCTCACTGTAACCTCTGCTTCCTGGGTTCTAGCGATTCTCCTTCCTCAGAGTCCCGAGTAACTGGGATTACAGGCATACATCACCACGCCTGGCTAATTTTTGTATTTTTAGTAGAGATGGGGTTTCACCATGTTGGCCAGGCTGGTCTCAAACTCCTGACTTCAGGTAATTCACCTGCCTTGGCTTCCCAAAGTGCTGGGATTACAGGCCCAGAATGTTGTCTTTTAAAGATATCAGTCAATATACAGAAAGCAAATTAAATATTTTTTCTTCCCTTTAACATCTCATTGACTAAATTGCTGCTGCCGCATGTTCTCAAATTACTTTTCGAACTTTCTATTATAGTACTTGCTTCACTGAGGTGTAACTGTAACTATTATTGGTCTCTATCCAGTAGTTCCTGAATATCTTTTTTTTTCCCCTAGACTGCTCAGCAGGAAGTTCGTGAATATCTTAACACCACATGCTGTGCTTTAATTTTGTTTTTCTCACGTTTGGCATGTTCTTCATTAGGTCATACACAGAAACTGTCTACAATTTGGATGTCCATTATAGTTTCTGATGTCTCTTCTAATGGAAATTTTTCTTTCTTTTTTTTTTTTTTGAGATGAAGTCTTGCTGTGTCACTCAGGCTGGAGTGCATTGGCACAATCTCAGCTCATTGCAACCTCTGCCTCCTGGGTTCAAGCAATTCTCCTGCCTCAAACTCCGGAGTAGCTGGGATCACAGGCACCTGCCACCACACCTGGCTAATTTTTGTATTTTTAGCAGAGATGGGGTTTCACCATGTTGGCCAGGCTAGTGTCAAACTCCCAGCCTCAGGTGATTCGCCTGCCTCAGCGTCCCAAAGTGCTGGGATTACTGGTGTGAGCCACTGTGCCTGGCATACTTGGCTAATTATTTATATTTTTGGTAGATATGGGTGTTCACTCTGTTGGCCAGGCTGGTCTTGAACTACTGACCTTAAGTGACCCACCTGCCTTGGCCTCCCAAAGTGCTGGGATTACAGGTGTGAGCCACCATGCCCAGCTATAATGTTAGATTGTGACATCCTTAAATAAATTTTATGGCCGAGTGGGGTGACTCATGCCTGTAATCCCAGCACTTTGGAAGGCAGAGGCAGGTGGATTACTTGAGGTCAGGAGTTCAAGACCAGCCTGGCCAACATGGTGAAACGCTGTCTCTACTAAAAATACAAAAATTAGCTGGGCATGGTGGTGGGCACTTGCGGTCCCAGCTACTTGGGAGGCTGAGGCAGGAGAATCACTTGAACCTAGGAGATGGAGGGTGCAGTGAGCTGAGATCATGCCACTGCACTCCAGCCTGAGTGACGAGAGGAACGCCATCTCAAAAATAAATAAATAAATAAATAATTTTATTTGTCATGCATTGCTTACCCCAGTAGGCATTCACAAAGTAGCCTAAATGCTTGTCAACTACACTAACTGTGTGTTATTTCTCTCTCTCTCTCACTTGCATCTTTTTATGCAGCATGGAATTCATCAATCAGCAAGTGGACATGAAGGCATCTTAAAGTTAGTTTTTAAGTCCCACTTCCCTTTCAATCTGAGAAACATTTGTTGAAAAACTATGCAGCTGCCATTATCCTAAACTGAAGAATATAAACAAAAACAAAAACAAAAAACAGATAAAGAAAAAAATTTAAGATAGAATATAACAATCAAGTGCTAGAGGGACACGAAGAAATCTGTAGGAAGCAGAGTCTGTGAAAAACCTTATGGAGAGAGAAGGTTGATTGACAAATGGAGGCAATACAGACAGGGAAGATACCTTGAGCCATGGCTTTGGAGGTGAGTGCTAATGAGTTTGTATCTTGGGCAGAAAGTAAGGAGATTGGTTTAATCACTGAGATAACCTAACTGGAGTTTACTGTGGACCAGATTAGTGGGTCTGAGATAGATTTCAGCAGTTTGGTGGTCGAATGAATTTGGTATCTGAGGAGATTCCGTTTGCAGCAAAGCAAGGAAGATTACATGAGATCAGAATGGCAAGTCTTGAAATCAAGTAACAGCTGTTTTGTGAAAATGGAACCTTCACTTTAGGAAGATTTTAAAGATAATAGAATAGAAAAATCTATTGGAAAAATCAAGACATGATTATTTACTTATTCTTATTTATTTGTTTTTGAGACAAGAGTTTCGCTCCTGTTACCCAGATTGGAGTGCAATGGCACAATCTCAGCTCACTGCAACCTCTGCCTCCCAGGTTCAAGTGACTCTCCTGCCTCAGCCTCCCCAGTAGCTAGGATTGTAGTCATACGCCACCATAATTAGCTAATTTTGTATTTTTAGTAGAGACGGGATTTCTCCATTATGGTCAGGCTGGTCGCAAACTCTTGATCTCAGGTGATCTGCCCGCCTTGGTCCCCCAAAGTGCTAGGATTACAGGCGTGAGCTACTGAGAGCAGCCTATTTATTTTTAGAGACAGAGTCTTGCTCTGTTGCTCAGGCTGGAGTGTAGTGGCAGGATCTCTGCTCACTGCAACCTCTGCCTCCCAGGTTCAAGCGAATCTCCTGCCTCAGCCTCCTACGTAGCTGGGACAAAGGTGCATTCTGCCATGACCCGCTAATTTTTTTTGTATTTTAGTAGAGACAGCGTTTCACCATGTTGCTCAGGCTGGTTTCAAACTCCTGAGCTCAGGCAATACACCCACCTTGCCCTCCCAAAGTGCTAGGATTACAAGCATGATCCAGAACTCCTGGCCAATTTTTATTTAT